TCTGGGCTGAAATCAGGGCAGACAGACCTGACTTTCACTCCCAATTTTTCTGCTGACCATCCCTGAGAAGTGGTCAGGCTTGACCCCAGTTTCCCATCTTTAACATGAGTCCAGGAAGATCCTCCCTTCCAACACTGGGCGGACAAAGGAACACGACAGTGATGCAGAACACAGCCTGCCCGCAAACAAGGCCACTGTAAATGCACTGGTTTAGAACTTTCTGGGGATCCTGCGCTCATCTCTACACGACGGGGGTTTCGGCTAAGGGAAATGCCTTTCCCCATCACAAAAGCTGTCCAGTCCCGCTAAGCACAGAGGTGACATACTCGCAGCACCTGCTGCCTGTGAACTCCAACCCCCAAACGTAGGTGACGTGCTGATCACTGTAAGGAGGTGAAGCGGCTAATCTCAAGAAGCTTGCATCATGCGTGGGAGACACAAAGAGGTTCAGCGTGACTCAACTGCCAGCATCCCAAATGGGCACCGGTTCGTATCCTGGCTGCTTCATTTCCCTTCCAGCTCTGGGCTTATGGCATGGGAAAGCAGACGGCCCAAAGCCTTGGGAACCTTGATTCACGTGGGAGACACACAGAAAGCTCCCAGTTTCTATCAAGACAGGCAGGACGGGAAGCCCCTGGTTACAAGCCCGGGAAGTCCGCGGCAAGGCACCTTCTCTCTCACGCACACACTCCACTCACCATGGTTCTGAGGAGGCCGCTGCGGCCCACGAAGCGTCACTGACTCGCGAGGGCTGACCGCCGCGGGAACTAAAGACTCGAACCGCGAATGCAAGCCGATCTGCGTATCGGAAGAATAAATGGAAGCACCGCAACTGTAAGACAGGAAGTGGAGGACCGGAAGTGAGGATGAGCGTCGGCCTGGGAAAGGGAAGGAAATGTAGGAGGGCTCCTGGAGGCGGTCCTTCCGTAGTGTCGGGCGCGCATGCGTAGGGCGGGATCACGCAGGCGTAGTTGTAGCCCCGGGGATGGCTGGTGGCACAACGCGCTCGGACGCCGTTTGCGAGGAATGGGCTGAGTGTCCCTCCGCTCACGTTCTCGGCCCTTCCGGGAGAGCAGAGGCAGTCGTTAGGAAATGACTAGTTCTTAACTCGAAATGAGGGCTAGCTGCGAGGACCTGGACGCTGCGGACGAGGCTGCTTGGGCTGCACAAACCCGCTCGTGGTTCCGTGTGTTCATCGGGCTCCCGCGCACTTTCTCTGAACGCGTCTGCTGGAATATCTGGGGCTTTCAGGGCTGAGTGCCCGTTATTCTCAGTTGTCCTTATGTAGTTGGAAGGCAGGACGGGACTGCCCAGGTTCCCGCGCCCGTCCAGACGCGGTCTCCGGCCTGGGAGCACTCTAGGCGTAGACAGGTGGGAGGCCCCTTAACCCGGCCCCTCACGACATCCTCCTGTCCAGTGATTAGGAGTCTATGTGAGACCCTCCCCCAGATGGGCTCACAACTGGAACCAGAAAGCTTTTTTTTAAAAATATTTATTTTTATGGAAAGTCAGATTTGCAGAGAGGAAGATCTTCTGTCCGATGATTCACTCCCCAAGTGTCCACAACGGCCGGAGCTGAGCCGATTTGAAGCCAGAAGTCTTCCGGGTGTCCTACATGGGTGCAGGGTCCCAAGGCTTTGGGTCATCCTCCACTGCTTTCAAGGCTAGGACTTTAGGCACTAGGCCACCGCCTAGTGCCGAAAATTCTTAACCAGGAAGAGGACCGAGGACCACTGCCAGGGATCTTCTGCTGGCTGTTCCCGTGTGGAGTCAGCAAAGGAGCAGGTTGTGGTGTGGGAATCGGGTGAGCTCCTGCAGCAACTTCAAATTAAAGCTTCTAAGTGCGGTGATTCTCCACCAAAGGAAAGCAGAGCCAATCTGCTGCCTTCCCAGGCACTAAACAGAGTTGGATCCAAAATGGAACAGCCAGCACTAGGACTGGTGTTGACGACAACTTGGTACACCACAGCACAGGACCCCACCTTTTTCTCGGCGGTGACCACCCCATTACTTCTATACTCCCACATCTGGCAGCTAGTCATCAGTCATATGCACTTACATGGATTTTAAGGATTTGTCCCTATAATGAGGAAGGCAGAGTACTACTCTCGCGGCTGGAATATTGGGGGTTCACTGTTCAGAAAACCATCTACTTGCTGTGCTTGGGGTCTGTGTTGCTAACCTGACTCCACACAAATGAGGTCACTTCTTACCTTTACCTAGTAATTCCTGGCTAGCAATTGTCCTTGCAGTTAGTCCAAGTGCCACACCTGGGGAGTGAGCCAGATCAAAGCTATTTCATATATCTTATATATTTTTTTACTGCAAAGTCAGATATACTGAGAATAGGACAGAAAGGAAGATCTTCTGTCCAGTGATTCACTCGCCAATCTGAAGCCAGGAGCCAGGAGCTTCTTCCAGGTCTCCCACACGAATGCAGAGTCCCAAGGCTTTGGGCCATCCTCGACTGCTTTTCTAGGCCACAAGCAGGGAGCTGGATGGAAAGCAGGGCGGCCAGGATTAGAACCAGTGCCCGTATGGGATCCCAGAGCGTTCAAGGCGAGGGCTTTTAACTGGTAGGCCACATTTCATATATTTTTTTTAAACAAAAAAATGCCTGGGGGCCCGGCGCGGTGGCGCAGTGGTTAAGGTCCTTGCCTTGCACGCCCGGGATCCCATATGGGCACCAGTTCTAATCCCAGCTGCTCCTTCCCTTCCAGCTCCTTGCCTGTGGCCCGGGAAAGCAGTCGAGGATGGCCCAAAGCTGTGGGACCCTGCACCTGCGTGGGAGACCCGGAAGAGGCTCCTGGCTTCGGGTCAGCATAGCATCAGCTGTTGCGCTCACTTGGGGAGTGAATCATTGGGCGAAAGATCTTCCTCTCTGTCTCTCCTCTCTGTATATCTGCCTTTCCAATGAAAATAAAAATAAATCTTTAAAAAATGCCTGGGCCCAGTGGATAAATCTTCACCTTGTAAGCACTGTGATCCCATATGCGCTCTGGTTCATGTCCCAACTACTCCACTTCCCAACCAGCTCTCTGCTTGTGGCTTAAGAAAAGTACAAGATGGCTCAAAGCCTTGGGACCCCAGACCTGGAAGAAGCACCTGGGTCAAACTGGGCAAGCTTGGACTGTTGTGGCCATAGGGAAAGGAACCAGTGGGTGAAGATCTTTCTCCCTGCAGACCTAATAATGTTTTTAGAAGCTAATTCCTCCTCAGACATCCAATATCACAAGATTGGAGGTGTGAGCTGTGTTGACTGTCCTAGCACCCATTCCCTTAATGGAATCCCCTACTGAATTAAGGGTATCTTGGTTCTGGGAGAGGGATGGTATTCCTTTATTTGACAGGGAAAGTAGTATTCACACCTCTCCTGTCCCCAACAGGCAGGATTTGATGAGACCAAAGCCAGAGCTCACTCCAGGTCTCCCTTGCAGATAGTCTTCCCAAGTACTCCAGCCGACACCTGCTGCCCCAAGGTGTGCATTAAATGCAAGGTGGAATCTATAGCAGTGATGGGACTCAAATGGGAAGATGGGCGGTGGCCATCCCAAATGGCTCTCTGCAATATGAAACCCAGGTTGTCATCTGCAAGTAAGGGGTTTCTCCAACAGCTAAAAGTGTATGCTTCACAATTAAGCAACATGCAGAGGCTGAATAAAATGATAGCAAGAAGCTAGACAGCTTTGATTGTTGTAAGCATGGATGTTAACTTGGGGCTAAGGAAAATATGAGAATGCTAACAGTGATTGGCATATTCATAGTAACTACTGGCACCCAGTACCCAAGCTATTTCTTACTTCGTTGCTCCACTTTCTGATCCAGTTTCCTTATATGCCTAGGAAAGCTTAACAGATGGCCAAAGCTGTTAGGGGTCCTCCTCAGTCAGGGAGAAGCAGCTTTTGGGTACCCAGCTCCACTGAACCAACAGCTTAAAGACCTGTCACTTTGCCTTCAAATAAATCCAAAGCGAGGGCCATGGTGAAGTAACCTAATACGTAAAGTCTTTGCCTTGCATGTGCCAGGGTCCCATGTGTGCACCAGTTCTCATCGCAGCTGTTCCACTTCCTATGCAACTCCCTACTTGTGGCCTGGGAGAGCAGCAGGTAGCCCAAAGCCTTGCAACTCTGCACCCACAAGAGACCCAGAAGCTGGCGACTCCTTGGCTTCCTATCGGCTCAGCTCAGCCCTGCAGCCAGCTGTTGCCAATCTGACTCCACACAGCAGAGGTCATTTTACAGACAAGTCTGCTGGGATCCTGTACCTGCCTGGCCATGTTAGAACCACAAACTTTCCCGACTATGACAAATTCTGCTTTTAGGATTCTACTGTGACCTATTTGATGTGAAAAGTAGAAAACACAGGGACCAGTGCTTCAAGCAGTTAAGCTGTCACTCACAATACAGCCACGCTGAGTGCAGGTTCAAATCCTGGCTACTTCTGACTGGCACCCCACCTGCCTAGTCCCCAAAGACCTTGATTTTGCACTCATACATCCAAAGGTAGCCCTGAACTAAATCATACACGCAGCCAAGCCAAACAAGTTGGAATCATGTATTGTGAGATTGTTTTTCCTTTTCAGAGGGGAAGGTGATGTCTAGGAACACTGATACAGATGCTGACTGGGACAGCCACAGCTCAAAGTCCAGGCTCCTTCCTCCTGTACAGCTTGAACACAGCAGGTTGATAGGAAAGCTTCTCCAAGTTCCCACCACACACGTGGGCAGCACACTTGGTCCCAGGCTCCCAGCTTCCTAGCCATGCCTCGGCTGATAAGGGCATGCAGGTTATGAGCTAACAGATGAAAGATTTCTCCACTTTTCAAATACTTAAGTGAATCTTTAAACGAAACTAAAAGGCACCATAATATTATAAAGTTTTCTCTAACTCTACAAAACTTCTCCTAGTAAGTACCCAAACTCTGTGTCCTCAGAAAAACAATTGTGCATTCCTGTGGTCATGACTATGTTAGTGCAAAAAGAAAAGTCCAAACCGCCAGCTTGCAATCCTCCACAATCCCCTTTAATGTGGCATTTTGCATTATATACATGAATGAAACTGAAACAAAAAACTTTAGTCAAACTCCCCTTCCTCCTCCAGCTTTATTGGAATAGTTTAAAATTACATTTCTATTTTCTAGGACTTCAGTTGCTTTTTCCATCTGACTTTTAAAAACTGATTACAGCAAATGAAACACAGTTGTCTAAGTGATATAGTATACAAAAATAACATCTTGATTTCTGTGAAAACGCATTTCTCTGCAATTCCTGAATAGATCCAAGTTATGCCAACCCTGGGCATCGATGTTCATTCTGGATTTTAGAAGTCTTTGCAAACATGTGTTCTATACCTGTGCCGTCACCATCTGTATGTGCAGCATCAACTCTGTGATGAAGTGGTTTAGGCTTTGATCTCGATTTCTCTGACACAGCCACCAACACGCATGTTTGTCTTTATTTTGTTTACTCCCACTCAACTGTATGTTCTATGAGGGCCTGATACAGATGTTACTTGATGTTATTAAATAGCTACTGAGGTCAGACAATCCAAGGCCATCATTATGCTAAAATTAAAGTTATTTATGGAAGTTCATAAGCACTTCCAGAATTGGTTTTACCTCCTACATGGGAAGCCCAGCATGGGCGTACTGGTCGGACTCCACTCTTCCCATTCGTCAGTCCCTATTCACCAGTGGCGCGGAAAGGGGGTTCTTTAACAAAGCTTTATACATAACACCTCTACCAAACTAAACATAAACTTTTTTTGTAGTTAAATGCAGGAAGTCGTTTTTTTTTCCACCCCTTTCCTCCTTTTACACGGCAAGTAAAGCTCACTGGCCTGGGAGGAGCCTCTATCTGCCAACCTTTGGCCAGTGAAGAGGATTCAGAGAAAATAATACAACCATCAATCAGAAAAAGGAGGGGCGATAAAGGAAACTAATTAGGCCGTGGCCTCGATCGTGCATTCCCGTGCAAGGTGCCCCGACTCGCCGCAGCGGTAACAGTTGACTTCACTGGTCTTGCTGCAGTTGATGGCTACATGGCCAGTTTCACCACACCTAAAAAGAAAATTTAAATTATGTTAGTAAACTCGGGACAGGAGGATTTAATGAAACAATCATACAGTTTTAACTCATAGAACTAAAGTTTCTACCAAAACAAACTAACACAAAGGGAGGCGGTGCTATGGTGGAAGGGTTAAGCTACCATATCCAATGCCTGAATCGATGCACTCCCAGCTCGTGCTAATGTGCTTGTTAGAGCACAGTGCCACAGCCCAGCCCTGGCTGCTGCAGTCACATGGCAAGTGAACTCATCCACGGCTGAATCCTCCCCTCCCCTCAGAAACTCTCAAATAAAAAAACTAGGGGCTGATGCAAAAGTTCAGTTGGCGGATCCTTCCTGTACAAGCGCAAACATCCCATGAGTGGAGGATGGCCCGAAGCCTTGCGACCCTGCACCGACAGGGAGACTGGTTCTGTGTTCTTAGGTACTGATCAAGCAAGCCCTCCTAGCCAGTCACTTTACCTCTCTGCTCTGCGGTCAGCTTTCCTCCACCAGTTCTAACTTACCTATAGCACTTCACCTTGGTGCAATCTTTCTGAATGTGTCCAAATTCTCCACACGAATAGCACTTCTGCTCATCAGCGTGGTCACAGTCACGGGCCAGGTGGCCCGGTTTGCCGCAGTTGTAGCAACACTGCTCCCGCTCTCTCTTGGGCTCTTTGCAGTCCTTGGCGATGTGGCCACCTCTACCGCAGTTATAGCAGGCTTCAACAATAAGGAAAAGAAGCAGACCAAGACTATAAAACCTTTACAGCATGATGCCAGAGAACACAACATAAAACCGCAGTGGTGGAAAATCTCTCCCAATGCTACCTGCAGGAATATAAGCTCACCTCTCAAGTTCGAGAGGGTGCATGAAAATTAGTGTTAAATACTTACCATCCTCCTGAAGATCACAATCCTTGGCAAGGTGGCCAGACTCACCACAGCGGTAACAGATGTCTGGAAGAGACGAGGAAACAAACTGGAAACCTATTATGAGCAGAAACAAAGAATGGCTAATTAGACCAACCTTAATACTCATGAATACTGATATATTTTGAAATTTCTTATTCGACAAAAATACCTCTATCCGAGGTAAAACCACCTCTGCCACGGCTTCTCATCCCACGACCACGGCCTCCTCCAGTGGGGCATTCCCGGGCCCAGTGGCCAGATCGCCCACACTTGAAGCACTCATTGCTACTCATGGCTGCAGGTAGATCTCTGAAATACTAAAAAGAATAACATTAATTAAACCACGTGAAATCACCTCTAGCCTGCAAAGGTAATTATATTTGGGAATTGCATACCTATTATAAAACATTAAACCGAAACCGTCTAATCTTTAAATGCAGTGATATACAGATTTAAGATGTACTAACACAATTATTGACAGGATATAGGGACTTGAAGAAATGTCACTAACACTACTCAGATGTCCCTGGGGATGGTGTGACACAGCAGGTAAAGCTGCCGCTTGCCCCCACCCAGCACCCACTTGATTTCCAGCCCTCCCATGATGTGAGGCCCGAGTGCTCAGGACCCTAGTGTGCACATGGGAGGCTGGCTTCAGTGTGGTCACCGCAGCCATCAGGGAGTGACCAGTGAATGCAGGATCTTCCTCTGATCACCCAAGCACACTCTGCTGCCTTTCCAATCAAGCAATCTACACATCAGGAGTTTGGAATGCTGACACAGCGGCTGCTTCTCTCCCAGACACACAGAGCTGGGCTGCCTACACTCCCGGTCCGAGTGACTGGGTTTGAATACCAGCTCCCCTCTCAATGGCAGTTCCCTGCTATTGTGCTGGGTGGGAGGCAGCAGGAAGGCCCACTCACTCACTCAAGTCCTGCTGACCAAGTCGGTGACCCAGACTGGAGCTCCCCTAACTGACCCAACCCAAACTACTGGGCCTATTTAAGGAGTCAACTAACAAAAGTTACATGTGTTGTTCAATCATTTTTAAAGAAATGAAATGCAAGATATGTTTCTAGACTACAAGTATGCCAAAAATATTAAGAAAAAAGTAAAACCAAAGTTAAACTGAGTAACAAACATTTGTTTATTTTCTAGATTCCTCTTTCCAAATTATTTTTTAAATTATTTTACATTAAAAACAATATCTGCAATGTCCTAACAGACCACTGGATATTTTTAAATGAAGTTACTAAAGCAAATGGTTTTTGTTCTTATGCAACAACCTAAAAATAAACCAAGCCTATTCCTAAATTAGAATGAAAAAAAAAAAAAAACCATAACTTTACATTTCCACTTTCCTTATCTGAATATTTTACCCTTAATTCCACTGTCATACTATCACATAAGGTTTTAAAGTAGCTTTGAGGTCAGCATTGTGAGTTCACAGCTAAAATGACTGCACAGGACCCTGGTATCTTGCCCCACTTCTAACCCTGCTCCCTGCCAACGGCCCAACAGCAGCAGCCAAAGATGTCTAGGTGTCTCAGTCTCCTCCCACCCACTGGGATGAAGCTCCTGCCTTCAGCCTGGCCCAGCACTGGCCACTGCGCCCACCTGAAGAGTAAGCCAGACTGAAGCCTGCCCCACCTATTGCAACCTGATTCAAAATGAGCTTTAAAAATCTTCCTACAAACTCAAAAATAAAAATATTGTTACTATACAGAATATGTGTGGATGCATATGCACAATGCACACAGCTTGTTAGAAACTGCCAGCCACTGAAGCTAATTTCAAAATTATATTTTTATAAAGAATTTGAGAAGTACTGGCCGATTTCCACCAGAGGGCAGTGTCAGGATAATATGAGAAAAGTCATCCCATTGCCTAGGTCTTCATTTTGTGTTCCCTTCAATTAATAGATCATTTTAAGCAAACTGAACTACTGTTCTCAACATGGTATTTTTTTTAAAGATTTTTTTTTTAATTGGAAAGATTTACAAAGAGAAGGTGAGACTGAAAGATGCTGCATCCATCAGCCAGCCCACTTCCCAAATGGTGCAACAGAAGCCGAGTTGATCAGAAGCCAGGAGGAGTAGGGGCTTCTGGGTCTCCCGTGCAGGTGGCCAGGTCCCAAGGCGTTGGGCCTTCCTCTACTGCTTTCCCAGGAGCTGGACGGGAACAGTGCAGGACACAGAGCCGCACGCACCTGGGATCTCAGTGCTTGTAAGGTGAGGATTTAGCAAGTGATCCAACATGTCACGCCTGATAGGTCTTTTAAAATGCTTGATAAGATAGGATTCAATATGTATTTTTTTTTTAAGATTTATTTTTTATTTTCATTGGAAAGGCAGATATACAGAGAGGAGGAGAGACAGAGAGGAAGATCTTTCATCCAATGATTCACTCCCCAAGTGAGTGCAACAGCTGATACTATGCCAATCCGAAGCCAGGAGCCTCTTCCGGGTCTCCCACACGGGTGCAGGGTCCCAAAGCTTTGGGCCGTCCTCGACTGCTTTCCCAGGCCACAAGCAGGGAGCCTGATGGGAAGCGGAGCTGCCGGGATTAGAACCGGCGCCCATCTGGGATCCCTGCATGTGTAAGGCGAAGACCTTAACCACTGTGCCACCGCACTGGGCCCTCAATATGTATTTCTAAAGTGAAAAACAAAATGACAATTCCTGGAAATGCCAGGGGTGCCAAGTGTTTGCATTAGCTAACTTGGGGACGGCTGACCACTGAATTAATAAGGTAACTTTCATACATCTTTATCACACAGCCCAGTGGTAATTGTATACAATAATCTGAACAGTTCTGTGCATGAAACAAAATGTCACAGCACAGAATGTCCTACCCATGGAATTATGTCAGTGCTCAAAAAATGTAGTCAGGAAGGTTTACCCTCTAGTGATCACCAGATACCAGTAAAGTCAGCAATTAAAATGTCAGCTTTGGGCGCCGGTTCTAATACCAGCAGCTCCACTTCCCATCCAGCTCCTTTGCTTGTGGCCTGGGAAAGCAGTCAAGGACGGCCCAAAGCTTTGGGACCCTGCACCCGCGTGGGTGACCTGGAGGAAGTCCCTGGCTCCTGGCTTCGGATCGGCGCAGCACCAGCTGTTGCAGCAACTAGGGGAGTGATCTGACTTTGCAATAAAATTAAAATAAACATTTTTTTAAAAAATCTTCAGCTTTACTCTGGCACAGAAATATTAATTCAAAAAAAAATTCTACCACTCAACAGCTAACCAAAGAGAAAATTTTTCAAATTCTTTCTTCCTGTGCCTTGTCTCTGGGGCAAGCAGGATGGTATGAGAATACTGACAGAGAGGAAAACAATCACATACAGAATGTTCAAGTATTAAGGAGCTCTACTGAATCTGTTAGGCTAACTCCCAAAATTGCTTACAAAGCTATTCCAGTGCAGATTACATTTAGGTAAAAAGCATTACCCCAGTTAGCTCAAAAAAAAAAAAAAAAAAAAAAAAAACACACCACACCACCACAGCAGGAGTCTAAGACAATTATCAACGATTCTCCAAGACAGACGGCGCACCAAGGCGCACCTCCTGAGCGGCCAAGGCAGAACTTTACACGTGGCAATACAAGCTTCAGATGTTGCTTTTCCCATTAATAAATCCTAAAGTTTAAAATTCAGTCTTAAAAATAAATGAGGTCTAAAATTTAAACAAAAAACAATCACCAGTGCAGTGTTTACTTTCTAAAGAGGTTTATCCTGAGGACAGCAATGGGCGAAGGTGGCTAGACCTCAGTGAGCGGCACTGCCACCCCTTGGAGCACGAGTTCAAGTCCCTGCTAATGGCTTGGGAAAGCAGTGAAAACAGCAGTCCTGGGACCCCTGCATCCACACGTAAGAACCAGAAGACGTTCCTGGATCCTGGCTTTGGGCTGACACAGCTCTGGCCATTGAGTACATCTGTTAAGTGGGGCAGCATATGGAAGAATTCAGTCTCCGTAACTCTGCCTTTCAAAGAAAAATAAAATCTTTACATATTTTTTTTTAAGTTTCACTCTGCATAGCAGTAATTCGTGTTAAAAGCACTTGTGGTACTTTTTATAGTGAATATAGACATTTCAAGGGACTGCTACTTAAAATTATTTTTAACTTAGACCCCAGGGACTCTGCACGCGTGTGGGAGATCCAGAATGAGGCTCTGGGCTTCAGGTCGACTCTGCTCTGGCCATTGCACCTACTTGGGGAATGAGCCAGCAGACAGAAAATCTTGCTTTGCATTGCCTCTCTGTAAACCTGCCTTTCATATAAAGTCAACCTTTAAAAATGCCTTTTCTATGTGTAGTGACATCTCAGTGGAGAGGATATTCTACCAGCTCTGCTTTCAGACCAAGGATGATCTCCCAATGAAACTGTTGAATTTACTTCAAAAAAAAAAAAAACCCTTTTCTATTTTTAAGAATTTTTCTCAGAAAGAGCAGTTTCAGGCAGAAGCAAAGAGGGAATAATACTTCCGCCCGCTGGTTCACTCCCCAAGCTGAGCCCATCTAAAGCCAGGGCCTTCCTCCTGGTGTCTCACGCGGGTGTAAAGTTCTAAGGCTCCACTGCTTTCCCTGACCACAGCAGGGAGCTGGATGGGAAGTGGAGCAGCCGGGACGGGAACCAGCACCCACATGGGACCTCACTGATTGAGTCACATGGCCCCACCTTTCTCTATTTGATAGCACTGTTTATACATTGCCAACACACTACCATTTACTAAGGAAGTAAATGTCAACAAAACTTTATTACACTTTTGTAAATACTTCATCCATGCTGAAGAAGGCCAAGCCATAGCCTTGTTTACAGCATTGTCTTTAAAATGGGATGTTCATGTGGGAGGAATCTATTCATGAAGTCTTTTTTTCAGTTCAGTTTTTTTCCCTTAAGTCTTAAGTCTTACATAAGTGTTGTATGGGAGGAAGTTAGGCTGCCATCTTGGGGTCTGGCTTAACTGGCTAAAACCTCACATCCATATGGGCTCCAGTTTGTGTCCCAGCTGCTCCACTTCCTATCCAGCTCCCTGCTTGTGGCCTGGGAAAGCACCAAAGGATAGCCCGAAGCCTTGGGACCCTTCAGATCAGCTCAACTCCAGTCATGTGGGAGTGAATCAGTGGATGAAAGATCGTTCCCAAGTCTCTCCTCTCTGTAATTCTGCCTTTCCAATAAAAACAAATCAAAAGGGTATTGTTTTGTTAACACTGCCTAGGCTTGCACCCTGCTGCAGGCCCACCACATGTCCTTTTATGTCCACCCTCCATCTACAAAGAACTACTCAAATGCCAACTGTCAAAGAA